TAAATGTTTTTAAAATATTAACTAAATATTTTCACATTTTAACTAAATGTTTTTAAATTATTGACTAAATATTTGAACGTTTTAATTAAATGTTTTTAAAATATTAACTAAATATTTTAACTAAATGTTTTTAAATTATTGACTAAATATTTTCACATTTTAACTAAATGTTTTTAAATTATTGACTAAATATTTGAACTAAATCTTTTTAAATTATTGACTAAATATTTGAACTAAATCTTTTTAAATTATTGACTAAATATTTGAACTAAATCTTTTTAAATTATTGACTAAATATTTGAACTAAATGTTTTCCCGCCGTGCGGTGACTTTATTTTAGTTCAAAATGTTTTTGTCCTTCAGGGACTCATGGAAATAAATCTTTCAATTCCAGCTGATGTTGTTTTTAGCAGCTGAAGTTCAGCTGCTGTTGGTCTCCTTCAGCTCATTGGGGACGCGGTGGTCCCGGGGCCCACCTGCACCCTGGACTCCGTGAGTCCGATCCTCAGGGCCAGCTCCTCGCGCATGAAGATGTCCGGGTAGTGCGTCTTGGCGAAGCTCCTCTCCAGCTCGTTGAGCTGCGCGGGTGTGAAGCGGGTCCGGTGCCGCTTCTGCTTCTGGCTCTGCTGCGCTCCGGACGGGTTCTGGTTCTGGTTCTGCTGCTTGTCCTGCTCCTTGCTGTTGCCCTGCACCGGGTTGGACCCGGCTCCTGCTCCTGCTCCCCCCGCACCGCTCAGCTCGTCACCGGGGAGCAGGGTGGCTCCTTCCACACCGTCCGGACCCGGACCCAGGTCCCCGGAGTGACCCGGGTCCGGTCTGCACTTCAAAGCCTCCCTGTGGCCCAGAAGCTCCGCCGCGGCATCTTTCATCCCTGCAGGGAGGAGGCGCGCGCAATGACGCACAGAAATTATTATTATTATTATTATTATTAATAATTTTATGTTATTGAAGTAAAACTAGAGTTAAATGCGTCAAACACAGAGTTCATGCACAGTCTGCTCCTGGTTCTGTTGGATCTGCTCCGATCTCAAAACAAATTAAGACCTGATGTAGTAATAATAATAATAATAATAACAATAACAACAATAATAATAATAACAATAATAATAATAATAATAACAATAACAATAATAATAATAATAATAATAACAATAACAATAACAATAATAATAATAATAATAATAATAATAATAATAATAATAATAATAACAATAACAATAATAATAATAACAATAACAATAATAATAATAATAATAATAATAACAATAACAATAACAATAATAATGTTATTAATAATAATCAGGCGAGTTTATCTCCACACTGAGACAATAAAAAGCAGATAAATGTGGCTAAGTTTATAGCAGAGATAATAACAGCAATAATATTAATACAAATAATAATAATAACAAAGTAACAATAATAATTATGTTAATAATAATAATAATAATAATAATCAGGCAGGTTTCTGTTCACAGAAGCAAGTAAAGTAAATGGAAGAGTTGCTCAACTTACAGCAGATAATAATACCAGTATAACAGTAATAATAATAACAGTAATAATAATAATACTAATAATAATGTTAATAGTAATAATAACAGTAATAATAATAATACTAATAATAATGTTAATAATAATACTAACAGTAATAATCAGAAGGGTTAGTGAGAGTAGGAAGGATAAACATGTCTCGTCTTACAGCAGATAATAATACCAGTAATACCAGTAATAATAATAAC